GTAAGACAGTAGCAAACGCACTGGATGTGCTGCAGCAGCAGCAGCAACCACAGCAGCAGCAGCAGCAGCAGCAGCAGCAGCAGCTGCTCTTGCTGTTGCAGCAACCCCTGCAGCACGTCCTCCAGCAGCCAAAACAACCGCAGCAGCGGCTTATCCCTCATCTGCGGTGTATAGGCAGCGCAGCAAAGACTGTGAGTGACTTTCTTATACAGAAAAGAAAGCAGCAGCAGCAGCAGCAGCAGCAGCAGCGACAAAGGTTCGAGGGCCCCTATGCCTTGGGGTGTACTGTAGCAGCAAGAGAGGAGCCGTCGCTCCCCTCGGTGCCTCCCGTTTATTCTGTGTTAGATGCAGAGGATTGCGGTTTGTCTCAGCCGTATGTTTCAAGCAGCAGCAGCAGCAGCAGCAGCAACGGTATTCATCTTTCTGCTGCTGAAGAAGCATCAGCAGCAGCAGCAGCAGCGGATGGAGGGGATGGTGTATGGGGAGCGAACAGCAGCAGCAGCAGCAGCAGCAGCAGCAGCAACCTATCGCTGCCGCATGCACCGTATATGGCGGTATTGTTTGATAGACGCGTAGACCTTATAACACCTCTCTGCACTGACTTTACTTACCAGGGTCTTCTCGATAGCACTCTGGGTATAGAGGGTGCAGCTCTGGAGGTCCCCAAGCACCTCCTGCAGCAGCAGCAGCAGCAGCAGCAGCAGCAGCAGCAGCAGGAGCAGCAGCAGGAGCAGACGATGGGCGAAGGTATTGTATCACCTTCTTTGACTGGGTCTGCAGGCAGCAGCAGCTTGCTTATAGATAGAGGCAAGGGGCAGAGGGTAGCTCTATCGGGAGATAGTTTATTTATATATCTTAGGGACCTGCATCAGACAGAGGTAGGGGGCGTGCTGCACCGCATAGCCAGCGACATAAAGGATACATACACCCAAAAAGAGAGTCTGCGTACTATAGAAGATATTAGTTCTTTTATGGTTAAGTTTAAACTAAAACAACAAGNCAAAAAGAGAGTCTGCGTACTATAGAAGATATTAGTTCTTTTATGGTTAAGTTTAAACTAAAACAACAAGAGCATGCATCTCTCAGTTTGCATGTAAAACTAGCTTCATTCATTGCTGCTGTATCGAGAGACCCAAACTACCACAGCAGGCTGTGTTTAGAGGACCGTATGCTGCAGGGTACACTAACACTTGAATCTGGGTTGCTGCTGCGCAGCAGCAGCAGCAGCAGCAGCAGCAACACAGAAATCTTTGAAAAGCTTATTGATGAATCGGCTGCTACAGAAGCAGCAGCAGCTTCAGGCTGCTGCTCTGCTGCTGCAACCACTCTTGATGAGGTGTATAGACTGCTGTGTTTATACTCGGTGACGGGGGGGGGCATCAAGGCAACACAGCTGAAGCCGCTGCTGCATGCACTGGTGCAGCAGCACGGGCTGAGAGAGCTGCGGCGGGTCGCATGCATGCAGCGCGTTGGTCTTCTCAGGGAGCAAAACCCAACAAAAAAATATAAAACAAATGCAGGGGGAAACGCAGGCCCAGAGGCCTGGAAATTTGTTCGAGATAAATGTAAACTTATGGTNAAACAAATGCAGGGGGAAACGCAGGCCCAGAGGCCTGGAAATTTGTTCGAGATAAATGTAAACTTATGGTAGAAGAACAACAAGCAACGAAAGATATAGCTTATGTATGCTCGGGATATGCACCCCTCTCCGTCAGGTAAACACTGGCGGTATTCACGCCTCAGCTGTACATACACCTCAGCTGTATACGCACCTCTGCTGTATACAAAACTCAGCTGTATAGGCACCTCTGCTGTACACGCACCTCTGCTGTATACAAAACGCAGCTGTATACAAAACTCAGCTGTATAGGCACCTCAGCTGTACTGGAACAGTTCAGGTGTATAGGCACCTTAGCTGTGCAGGCATGCATCTTATTCGTGTTGTGAGTTGCGTTAGGGAGGCAGCTGAGGTGTATATGCAGCTGAGGTGTACATGCAGCTCTACAGTTTATATTCGCTCTTGTGAATGATCATCTGTGGTGTATCGACAGGCGTCATGCGGCGGGTGTATGCACAGTGCAGAGTGTACACAGGATGAAGCGGATGTGTTGATGGGTTTCATTTCAATGCATGCACGTCACCAGCTTTAAATTTTTTTTGGGGCTGGAGGAGTATTCC